GCCAAGGACTTCTCAATGCTAGCTGTATTCTCCTCCAACTGGTGGATTTCAATGGCTTCAACGAGTTTATCATATAACCAAAGATAGCTACGCTTTGATGATGTCCCGGAAGAATTTCTAAATCTGTCGATGGCCAACTGCAATTTGGGGTGAGATTTCAACTGCTCAAACAAGAGGCTCCTAAGTGACGAATCTGAAGGCCGATCACTGACCTCCAAGGCTTGCCAAATGAAGTCAAACTTGTTACGGAAATCTTCGAGTGCTTTGATGTCTGAACCCTGCATTTTCAGATTGAGAAGGTGACTTTGAGTTAGAGCTACGCCTCTATCCCTTTCCATCTTATACTTCTCAAAAATGATCCAAAGCAACTGCCTCCCTTTGGGCTGCTTGTGTTTCCTTTGATATGACTCTTGCATGGTTTGGAAGTGCATGGCAAACCGAGTATTCTTACTTAGCTCCAGCAACTTGCTACCCAAGACACGATCCAAGAGCGGAAACGGCAATGAATCATTCAGGGATTCAAACGCTTTTGGTTCAATGCACTTTTCGATCCATTTAAAAACAGGTTCTTCATCCCCTTTAGCCAGTTTACAGATTAGGTTAAACACCGAGTTTCTAAATGCCCTCGCATCTGATGCCGATTTGGGGAGGTCAGGGATCTTCAGATGATCGTACTGTTTGGTCCGCATGATTTTCTTTTCATACTTGTATGGATTTACAACACGACTCCGATTGCTTGAGGATGATACTCCAGAAGCATTTGACCCCCTTGGCGGTGTGGGAGAACCACTTCCACCGCCCCTGCTTCCCTTACTGCTAGACGACGACGACGAACCAGGTGGTGATTTTGGAGGGGTGGCTATGTCATACTCCTTTGGAGGATTGGGTGACCCTTTATTGGAGCCATTCCCTTTTGACTTTCTACCGCCCCCTTGATTGGATGCAAAACCATGAACAACTGATGCCAATGACTCAACTTTTGCAAACAACTCCTTGAGCTGGGTATCCTTAGGACTATCCCCATGTTGCGAAGGCATGGCAAACAACTGAACTTGTGGGTCTTGCACCGGGCTTGCAACACTCCCTGAACCAGAACTGTGACCCGTCTGTCCTCCGGTGCGTAAATGCATCTCGGAGTCCCGACTTAGTCTTGACTGTCCGATTCCTGAAGCGACTGGTAATTGCAATGGCATTTGAACATCCGTACCATCAGCGGCTCTAGATGTTGGGCTCATAGCCGACTTATTTTGCAATTTGCTTAACAACGACTGCTGCTCATCAACCCTTTGAGTTAAAGCATTAATCATTTTTATTTGTTCAACCGATTTCATGGACAATTCCCCATTGATACGGACCAGTTCAGTGATTTTACCCTCCAAACTTGACACCACAGACTGAGCTTCGAGTTTAATCCTTTGGACCTCGGCTCTAGCTTGGGACTTAGCACTCTCAATCTCTTTTGAAGCATCTTGGACAATCTGGGTTGTACCCGCCCTGGTATCCTCCAATTCTTTCTGAAGTTGAATGGACTGAGCTTGGGATTCCGAAATTGCCCTTCTGGCCTGAGACTGAAAATGTTCCAAGTACTGCATAGCTTCTGTTCTAGTGGAAGTCTGGATATCTTCAACCATCTGAGTTGCTTGTACCTGAAAAAATCTTTGGGACTCTTCCACAGCTTGGATGGCTTGGGATTTTAAACTACTCCTAGCTTCCTCCACAGCATGTGCGGCTTGTGCAACTACAAAAGGATCCATCGAAACATTCAATTCATTTTTGATGAATGTGGGACCCTGGGATTGACCCTGGCTGGATGCGGCTCCCTGCTGACCCGACCTGGTGGATTCATACTGGCCATGAAACGGATTCGAATGAACATGATCTTGTGCTTCTAGCTGAACAGCATTCATATTTGGTGCAATCAACAGTGAAGATTGAGGAGATCCCAAAAACTGAGACAAAGTTTCTGGGCTTTTATAAGGATTACCCTGGATGTCTAGGGTTCCCCCAGCTTCCCCCATGGTATGAACAGCAATCCGATTTTCTGGAATGGCTATCCTTTGATCCCTACTCCCCCTTTGCTCCGGAGTTGACTGCGATGTTGAACTAGAGGTTGTCATCGATTGGGATGGTGTGACAGGATTGGCAACTGTTTGTGCCGCACCCACTTCTAAACCCCTTTGAGATCTAGAACGTTCTGAACTTCCCTCTTGTGAGCTCTGCATTGTGATTTTGGGTTGGTTTGAGAACTTATGCACTTCCCTCCAAAGACCGTTAATCCCCGGAATGTTGCACAGGTTTATGCACTTCCCTCCAAAGACCGTTAATCCCCGGAATGTTGCACAGGTTTATGCACTTCCCTCCAAAGACCGTTAATCCCCGGAATGTTGCACAGGTTTATGCACTTCCCTCCAAAGGCTTTTTAATCCCTGAAATGTTGCACAGGTTTGTGCACTTCCCTCCAAAGACTTTTTAACCCCTGGAATGTTGCACAGGTTTGTGCACTTCCCTCCAAAGACTTTTAACCCCTGGAATGTTGCACAGGTTTGTGCACTTCCCTCCAAAGACTTTTTAACCCCTGGAATGTTGCACAGGTTTGTGCACTTCCCTCCAAAGACTTTTAACCCCTGGAATGTTGCACAGGTTTGTGCACTTCCCTCCAAAGACTTTTAACCCCTGGAATGTTGCACAGGTTTGTCAACACTCTTACCACCTAGAATCTTTTCACCCTAGCAAGGAACACAAAGACAATTGCAACACTTTTACCACTAAGAGCCGTTAACCCAAAAATGGAATGCCGGTTGCCTGAATGCCCTTCCCACTAAAAGCTTTGACCTAGGATTGGAATGCTAACTGCTTTCACGCCCTTACCACCAAGAATCTTAGACCCCTGGAATGGAGCGCAAACGCTTCTCACCCCCTTTTCACTCACCGGTGCCTGTAACGCCAGAGCAATCGTTCCAGAGGAGCCGCACAATCCAGCAAATAGTGTTGCACGGTCTCAGCTGCTGGGCACTTTGGCTTGCGTCTGATTTGTATGTGGCACGTATGGACTTCTGCTGAGTTCTCACTGATCACTTCATGATTATCGTCTACCAATGCGCAAGGGATCTGATAGTCGAGGGTATAGCTCTTTATTGTAGCTGCCTTCCCAACCACCCCACAGCGCTCTCGGGTGATAAAAATCGATGTGATGAGGCCTTCGTCCGCAATCTGTCTGTATTGATTGCAAATTCGAAGTAGATTGTCCAGATTTTTGCTTGAATGTTCTATATGAGAAACAATCACGATTGACAAAGCGTCTCTGTGGCCCCACGTCTCTTCTGCCGCCCCTTTGAGACGGTTCAAAAAAGTGATGGAGTCTTCTGGGAATTTGTCGTTCCAAGTCCCCTCAGTTCTCGATCGATCCAACACCTGGTGCCAGTCAAGAAAAAGAATGAACTTTGGATATTCCGGAGAGTCCGCTTTGATGTATGTCTTGTAGCCACGATATGAACTGTAGTTTGAAACCTCCTTGAAGTTCACTCCCACAGGATCCTGGCCTGAGCCCACGTCCTCAGCCTTGTTGTCGCGATCAAACCAAACCACCGTGTCCGGAAGATAAGGTCTAGGCTTCAAGATTCTCTCGATTGCCTTCGCTGATGGCTTTGCACGAGCTCTCAACTGATGTGTTCCACTTGGTCTTGCCGGTGGCACAACAGAAGATGACGATGCCGATGATGTTCCCCAAGTGGAGCCTGCCGGGTGATCGGACGGTTCTGGTACTTTTGAGGTAGGCCGAGCCTTTGCGGCTGGTTTTCCCAAGACCGGAACCGGTTCTGATGCTCTCGGAGTAGGCCTAGCTTTTGCGGCAGGCCTTTCCACGATCTGAACCTCTTCTTCTGACGAAGATGTCTCAATCTCCCAAACAGTTGCCCCTTGCAACACCGAGTCGCAGACCTGAAATCTCCACTGCCTTGCGTATTCAAGTCCTTCCCGAGTTACAAATGGATAGTTCCCTTTATAGAATCCTTGATCGATACCTTCTCTGATGTGTCGAACCTTTGTAGAAAGACCCCTGCGACCACCTCTTGGGGCTCTGATAGCACGCCAAAGCGCGTCCGGAATCTGCTGTCTACGATCTGGCTCTAAAGTTTCGTCAAGGTACTCCTGGTCGATGATACCACTAGATGTAGCTATTGCTGCAGCCCTACGGCTGATAACCAAAAGATTCTCAAAGAATCAGTTGGCTCAACCACGTAAACCCTTTTACCTCGGGCAATGCGATCTTGAGCCAAACAGTTGGCCATGGTATACATTTGTAGACCTGGACCACTGGATGTTTGGCATATGAATGAATTAGTTAAAACAAGTGGACATGTATTAATGTCAGTTCGAGCAAACTGGATTCCTGGGTCTAGTGTACTTTAACATGACCGCATGCAATGGTTATGAATTCCAGTCTACATTGATTGCTATGGAAGCATTTGTTGGTGATACTACATTGCACTACACTGCACTACGTGAGGAGGCATATTACTCGTAATCTTTCTTCTGTATTATATTATATTATATCATATTATATCATATTATATTGTATCATATTATATTATATTATATTATATTATAGTATAGTATAGTATATTATATATATATGTCCCAGATGTTCTCAAACATTCCCAGAGTTGAACGCTTTTCTTGACAGCAAATCCCCGTGTACGTGGATGGCGAGAGACTAGTTAACTAGTTTTCCCCAAACCTACGCCATCAGAAACCTGGCTCTGAAATCGGAATTGTTTCCTGGAATATACTCCAATATCATCCACGTGCACACCGGTAGCGACAAATCTGCTAAGGTAAAGCGCATGACAATAAAGCCCTGCCCAAAAAAACAATGTGCTGAGGGTTTATAAAGGACTATCTGAAAAATAGAAATAATAATAATAATAATAAAGTATAAGGTAAACTATGAATAACATTAAAATACATAATCAAATATATAACCTACAACTGTGGCTCCGCACTTGAGCTGCCGATGGATCCCACAGAGGCATCCTGTCAGCTGTGGCATAAAATGTAGCCACTCAGTTTTTTTTAAGGCGACAGGTTGGATAGAACCACGGTTGAAAATGGAGGCCAGCAAATTTGGAGAATCATCCCAGTTGGTAAAAGGGTCTTGAGGCCAGCAAATTACTGGGTAAAAAAACGACACAACCATCGCTTAATCCACTGTGATGTTCAGGAATCTCCTCACTAAAAATCTGTGTCATTTTGTTGCCGCTGCCGAATGTCGAAGATCTTGAACCGCCAGCCCAACTGAATTATTCACCAGTCTCCACCAGGATTTCGTTGCTGTTTCATTGGGATACGAAATGGAGTACATGAGCTTAAAAACCATGATTTCATAGCCATGGTACCAGAAATACCATAGAAATACCATTGGCAATCATCCAACAGTTTTTTTGAATCAACTGTTTCATCAGGACAAATACAGGTGTTTCTTTAAATGGATCCGCGCTCCTCCTGGCCATCCCCCAGCGAGGAGTTCTGCTCATCGGGTAGGACCTGGAGTAACGCAAAATGGATATGTCGTAGGAACACGACGTAGTGACTATGGATGTCTTAAAATGTGTTTAATGACATATGTCACATAGTCACTAGATATATGTGACTATGTCTTAGATAAAAATGTGTGTTTAACTATAGAAGATTGATGAGACTCATTGTTGGTGTTACCTTTTGTTAACCAACAGGTTTGAAGTAAATTGAATACGAGAATCTAGCCAGTTACATGGGGGATCAGAGGTTAGCGGCATCTAAAGCTACAATTGCCTGAATGACACAGTTGAGACTTGGCCACAATCATCTCAGTTGGAACTGGTTACCGTCCTATGACTATCTCATAGAATTCAAGTCTTCACTTCAGTTTAAGCTATGCGGTGAAATAAAGATTGCAGATACCCATGAAGATCTACGGGATAGATCGGGGTAGAACATCTCGTGACGCCCAGTGGCCCATCGGAACCCATCGGCTGCCTTCCAGCGCAACATCATCTCGGCCAAAGCCGCATTTTGATCCTGCAAAGACATCACCTGCCGCCAACTTCACTCGCCATGGACATTGAAATTTCCAGCAAGTTCTTTCCACAACAAAACCCCTTAGCGACCTTTCGGGTACTCAAAAAGTTGAGGAACCACTTAAAACTGCTGCGAAAACTCCGAGGAAACATGGTATCCAACTCAACGCCTGGCCGAAGGATTGCAGCCGAGTTTGTTCATCCAAGAAGTAGGCCCCTGCCATGATGATCAGCATAGCCACCTTGGATCAAAATGACCAATTATGGATGATTATTGGGATAGAATGGGATAGAATGGGATCAGGACCTGATCAGGATAGATCATCTATGGTGTCAGTTTTTTGGGCTTTCACTTCGGGTAGCAAACGATACAACCCAATCATGGCGTGGAATTTTGCGTGGGCATACATCGGCAAAAATTGCCACCTCAAAATAAGATGCGATGTTCGTCCAAAAGAAGAACAGCTCCACATCAGTACTTAATTGACTAATATCTGTGAGTCAGGAGGTCAAGGTTCATTTTGACTCATAGCCGTGCGAAGATCCTGGATTTTCTGAACAAAATAATCCGCCAATGAGGTAGCACCAGGTAGAATCAATGGCCAGTTCTCAGGACTTACAACACAATTACAACACAATTACGCAGAATCCATGGCGATGGTCGAAGGACTTCGGCACGAGCAAGTGATGCACTGAAAACAAAGATGGAATTCCCGAAGAATCTGTTCCTGAAGAAAAACCAAACGCTTCAACCACGTTTTGATGGTCTCATGCCACAACCCTCGAGACCCAGACGCTGTACATGCCATACCGGACCTCAGGTTCAAAGTAGGAACCACTCACCATTTCAATCACGAAACATGACCGGTTCGAAACAGGCAGATCTTTTACAAAGTCCAGATATGTCCAGATTCAGGATCTTTGTTCGCTTTCCGAGTCGAGTGATCAAATCCACAGTTTCGACCAGTCAAATTGAAAGGCACCAGGTGGCACCAGTTGGGTCGTGAGGTCACTCAGCACCAGGCATGGTCAAAGGCAAAGATGTCCACCAAACCGCCTGTGATCGGCTCACAGTGAGACTGTGTTGAACTTGAAGCATTGAGCCGGGCCACAAGAAGTAAGTGTTTGGAACCAGCTACAGGCGTCCTTTATTTTATATATCGAAAAAAGAGGCCTTACCTGGCAATGGACCCCCTCCACGGATCTCCATCCTGTGCGCCTTCACCCAATGCCAGCATCAACGAAGCCACTTCGAAGGCAACTAAGATCCACAGTACCAAGGAGTGCACACGGCACATCACCTTGACATCGCCGCCATCCACAGAAAAATGGGGAGGTCAAATTCGATATGTTTTTGAACCGGCTGAAGTGGTACTAGAAATAGATGAAAATGATTAAGTATCGCAAGTTCTACTCATTGGGTGGCTATGGCTCAAAATTGAGAATTTTTGATCCAGGGAGATTTTTCAATTTGGGGACTGGCAGTCCCTTTTAAGCCGCCCTTAAAAAATGGGTGTTTCTCGACAGTCACATGATCACCACAAGCCATGCTTTTCTCCATCCCCGGTTTTTGTGAGTTGGATCCCAGCGGCTGGGAGTTGAATCAGATATTGCTCCATGTGATACCTCTATATATCTCTGCATGGCAAAATTTCTATGAAAATAATACTTCCTGCCAAGGATTCTACAAATTATACATGATCAGAATGATCAGTATCAATGAGTGGTTTCCTCTGACTGACAGCCCTTTTCGGAGGCGATTGCAACCAAGGCTCTGCGATCACTGAAAACCTCGGCGTGCTAAACATTCACCCAAAGAAATGGCCCAAGTGGAATGGAGTAAATAAACAAGGACATGCCGTGACTGGATCATAAATAAATGATAATAAATGAACATCGAGTATGATGAGATATGATGAGATATGAATCAGACTTGGGTCAACCAAAACCCGAGACTCAGAGTCGGCTGTTCCTTTCTCATCCGAGGCACCAAAGAGCGTCGCCCACCAGGATTTGTGGGGGTACATTCCAAAGCAACACGTCCAGCAAGCCCAGCCTGCCGGATGTCACCCGTATGTCACCCGTATGTCACCCGTATGTCACCGGGTTTCAGGATCATTGGGCAAAGCATATTTAAGATCAATTACAGTAATTACAGTATGATTATACTGAAAAAATCTGAAAAATTATGATAAATATTGATAAATTGATCGTTAAGAACAGCAAAACTGAAGGATTTCACGAGGAGGATTTCGCGAAATGATCCCGCATCGCCTCACCATCCACACAGGTAACAGCCAGGCATCCGACCAGAAGGACCAGGGATCCCGTCCAGCCAGAAACAACACCTAACAGAAACAGAGATCAACAGCAGCCTGGATTTCACCACGCATGGATGTGGCAAAAATTCGGATTAACCTCAAAAAATGGTACCTGAGAACAGTACGTAGCATGGCACCAACCATGATACAGTTCAGTTGCAAAAGTTTGGATGATCTGAAAAGGAATATATATATATATATATATATATGGAAAAAAAAGAAACAATAGTTTGATGATTTGGGCCCCAATCTTCACTAGGAAAATCGCCTACAATCCGGGTCAGGGGTACATTCCATTAAAACCTTGGTCGTTTAAGGGTACAAAAGCAAGCCAAAAAGTAAGTGGCCAGCAGCAAGAATAGAACCTCCTCCCCTCTGGTAAATCCGATCATCAAATTTGGGAATGGAAAATCCCAATCCATTTGATGATTTTCATGATTCTCCCGTGAAAAAAACCTCCAGAAGTTCGGGAATTCGACAAATGGTCCAAGTTGAGCTCCGAACAAGGCCCTCGAGGGGAATGCCTTGCGATGGCTGGGATCAGTTGATCCGACTCATCAAATCACGTCTGCACGTCCCCAAATCAAGCAGCTGCCTGTGCCCTGCCTGTGCCCCAGAGGAGATAGTGGTTCACCCCAAAGGAGCGACAGGCTTGGGCATGCTCAGTATCCTGCGCTTCCTGCGCTGCTTCACCAAAAATGTTGCTTTCATCAACTCAACGTACGTAGCTTTGACCACCAATTCTGAGGGATTTTTTAACTGACATTAGGATGATATGAGCAACAACTTTGGATTCAGAAAGCAACAATTTGGATGTAACGAAAAACTATGGAAAACTGGGATCTCTGAGAAATTTCACCATAGTTATGTGGGAACACCTCCTAAAGGCGGATCGCTGGCTTTCACCAGGCCTGTGGCACGGTAGGTCTCCCAGGAGCGCCATTTTCACACCAGAAGGCCCATAGACCGCCTCCTGTCAACTCCAGTGGGACATGTTGGATGTACGTTAGCCTCACTGGAAGAGAATTCAAGGCAGAATTATGAATTAAAGGATATTAAAGGGAAAAGATGAGGAAACCCATCGGATTTCTCGTTCTCTGCCGGATGGAAACACACATCTACCATGCGCCAGATGCAGTTTCGGGTGTCCCGCCTACGGCATCTGCGCAGAAAAACGCAAAGAGTACCTCCACGAATCCATCTGCGCCAAAATCAGTGGCAAAAACCCTGGGAATTACGACCAAAATGATTGGCTTGCTATGGTTCTGATTATCTGATTCTTCTTTAGCTGCCAAAAATTCGATACCGCAAAAAATAAGTGATAACGATATTTTGACAGGCAATCCTAGTACGTAATCCATAGTCTAATCCATAGTAATCCATAGTACCCGTTGAAATTGTTGGTAGAAATCCGGCAGATCACAGGCGGATCCCACGATACGGCGGCTTCGGCGTCCGTTGATCTCAGAACGGATGAAAGCCTCGACACAAAAATCACAGCCCAGCCATTGTCATTACCAGCCCAATGGGAATTTATATATGTGGCCAATGGATAGGAGCATATATACAATATATATATATATAGCTAGCCCCCCCCCCAAAACCGACGTTTTTCTCTTTCTTGTTTTGAAGACTGAGTAAATAGCGTGCTTTTTAAAATAAGTATACTGGAGTGATTTTCGATTTCTTCTGACAATTACGTTGAGCAACATGAGAATCTAGAGGAATATTGGAAATAAACTCTATTTTTGATATTTTAGATTTCATATCTAATATCAAGTTTAGAACTGGAGTAAAAAGCTTTAAAGCCTCATCTAAGATATTTAATAATCTGTCTTCTGGAAATTCCATTCCACATCCTTCCACCATAGTTATTTCATTTTTTGAGCCACTAATAAATATATCCATATTCTCTGAAGAAGAACTAGAAACAGATGGAAAAAAAAAAACTGGTGATTCAAATTGTGCCAAAATATCTAAAACATGCTATTTTTGTATGTTTTTTTTCTACTTGCTTATTGTTTTAATTACATACACACAATTTTTACAATCTACCAAAAAATAAAAATAAATAAAGCTCTTGCTATAAATAGTTGGATTAAAAATGATTGGCAAAACTGCTTTAAACGCTAGCAAGAAAATATATATCTAGATATATATCTTATAAAAATCACTTAATTAAACTCGACAATCTATTACTACAAAACCAATTAAATTTTAATAGTTCTTATTTCTTCAGTTGTTTAAAAGATATGGATAAAAGGATAGTGCAATGTCGCATTTTAATAAAACAAAATCATACTCAAAGCACAAACATGTATCATAACATTATAATAAGCATCAATATAATTAAGGATTAATTTTTGATTATTTATTTTCCAGAAAAGATCTATATACGTCTAAACCCATATAGAATAGAACAAAATTTAGCTCCTATATTAAACCCATCTTTTCAAGAGACAATAAAATTGTACTGACTTAAGAATATGCTATGCAAGGGAACTATTAGTATTTAAAAAATACACTCTTGCCTACAAATTACTTAATCAAGCTAGCAAAAATATAACATATATTGACAATATATAAAAATACATAACTTGGCAGGATTTATAGCACTTGTAAAATTAAAAGTATATAATATTGCACTAAAGCATTTTTCTTATATAGATGCGATTGCTACATCACCAAATCAAATAAGTAGACATTCCTATTTTATGTATATTTGCATGCAACATATGCAACATCTAAAATATCATGCACTGTCAAAAATATTATAAAGGGCTTCAAAATACTGTGCACCTTTTTATGGAATGATAGCACATGAATTACTCAAGAATTCACAAATCTCTTTACCAAAAACAATTGATATTAATGATGCAAATATATATATATATGAATGTCTTAAAACAAACATTACAAGATGAAATTGAGTTTGTATCTTACCTAATAAAATATAAAACATATAACCTTGCAGACAGTTTAGTAACTCAACTATTTAACAATATATGTAAAGATATTTTTCATATAACAATATTTTTGATATATGGACAAGAGAATCAACATCTGCAAGTGATTATTTGTCAAGAAGTTTTTCTGGGAATCTTGAATCTTGAATCTTGAATCCTGCCCCCTTGGATTCAAGAATTCTTTCTGGGAATCTTGAATCTTGAATCTTGAATCCTGGGATTCAAGAAGTTTTTCTGGGAATCTTGAATCTTGAATCTTGAATCCTATCCCCTTGGATTCAAGAAGTTTTTCTGGGAATCTTGAATCTTGAATCTTGAATCCTGATCAGGAACGTTTGCAAGCGTTTGCAAACGTTTGCAAATACTTCTTGTAAAAAATACTCTAAGTACATGGATTTAGTAATAGTAAGATAACAAATAATATACATATGTGTATATATATATATGCATATATATGTATGATACTGCCCCACTGGATCTCAAACTGAACAAGGTAACTATCCCAAAAGCGTTACAATCTTGAAAATGTCGGTTTTGGGGGGGGGTACCATATATATGTATATATATATACAATATATACCTGGAACCCAAGTGACCCCTCTTTTGGATGGTTAACCTTCAATTTTATGGGTCAAAACCTTCAAAACAAGGGTCATTTGGGTTCCAGGTATATATATATATACAATATATATATATATACATATATATATACATATATATATACATATATGGGGTAATGTGATGTGTATATATATATATAATAATGACAATAATAATTCAGACATTTATCCCATCCATTACCATTATAAAGCCATTTGAGCAATCTGTTTGGATCTCTGAAATCTGCACCCTGTGAATGTGACCTCCAGCATCAATCCACAGCAGTGTCTTTGGGTGGAAAACCATGGAAAACCAAAAGTTGCAACATGGCTAACTTATGCTAACTTTACATGTTTGGTACTATAACAAAATGTTGTTCCTTTTGACGTTGTGTTCCCCAAATTGCCGCAAAATAACAAGCATTTCACAAGCTGCACAAAGGTCTTGAACTATCTTTAGTGGGCTATCATCGTCCATGATTCATGACCAGAAACGCTGCAACCCATGCTGTCATTTTTTGTTCATCTATCTCCCACACCCCCGCACGTTTTCAAGATGAGTACCATCCCAAAGCTGACCGTTCTGGTTTTCACGGAAGGTTTACCCATTCAAACGGAGATAGTACCCAGTAGCTGTAAGCCAATCCCCTGCCAAAATTCACTCAGTTGATTCACACACGGCAGTTCACTGATTCGCCTACCATATTAAAAAGATCTTCATTCTTTTAGATGATCTTCATTTAAAGACACAACCCGTTTACCAGGAACCCCAACCACATCGGTGGTGGCCAAAAACGCGCGATGCCAGCTGCGTACCACGCTGAAGACCTGGGGAGTTCTCCTCTTCAGTTGGACGATTTCCTATCGAAACAAATGGAAGTGTCATTTAACAAAAAAAATAATGTGAAAACATTTGATCAACAAAACTGGCGGATGCTATTCTTCGGGCCAAATGAATGCTCTGGCAGACGAAGCACGGTGGATTTCATAAAAATCACCCAAGCCGGGTTAAAAATAGGGCCGAAGCAAGACCCCATTTCATCTACGGTTTGCTGCCAGTTTTCCTGGGATCCTTTCATGTTGGCAATTTGTTGCTGAACTACCCATGCTTTTCAGCAATTTGTTGCTGAACTACCCCTTTGTTTTTGTGTCAAATGGTGCGGTGACCGCACGGTCACAATATCGGTGAAATCCACAGTAAGATCCCATCCGCCTGGTGCCACCTGCTCACAGAAGACCTGCAAACAGAAATTCGATGAAGCAAACAGTCGATTTCTACAGTCGATTTCTACAGTTTCATCATTGATCCATCCAAAAAACAGGTGATCCGCGGATCTGCGGATCCGACAGGCAGCACAACTGAGATCTGAGATATATGAAGATAGGGAGCATCTTAGAAGTGACCATCTGGGTTTGACTCAAGAATGTTGCTTTACTGGGCCACTGGACCCGCGACATTGGGTATGTTCTAGTATTTAACCATCCTAAAAATTGGTAGATCAATGATTTGGGGGTCACAGCCTGATCTAAGATGTATCTGGACAATTCATAAGTAACACTTTCTAGTAACTTTCTAGGGTATATCCCAAGATATTCCAGTTATGAGGGTATAGCATCCCTCAGTGGGCTTGAGAATCCCCATGAGAACATCATCTATTGATAGATACAGACCTTGTGGATTTCCAGCCAGCTATCAACCGGAACCCCCAAGAAAGGATGAATTCAGATCCTAAATCTGTCCAGCCATTGGTGGTTCCATTGGTATTTTTCATTCGCACACGACCCACATGGCATGACCCGCACCCGGCGGCGGAAACAGGAAGAAGTGTGGCAGTCAGATCGGACCTGAGTAAAGGTAGGTTCAGTGGATCATCACCAGTGAAACATATGGATGTTGTCCAACTGCAAAATGGGTGTGTCACTGCGTCACTACATGGTTGGGTATATGTTCACCTAGAAGTGGTGGTTTATCAAGGAAGATCAAATAGTCTATAACATTCATGTTTATATATAGTCATGCCATGTCTTGCCAACGTTCTACACGACAAACGCTTGCGATTTGGTCATTGAGGCTCTGTGCATTCGAACACTGCCACTTGCGACCACACCATTGGGGCAACCGGAACAGGCTGAGTCGCAAAGTCAAAAACGCTTGGGAAATCGCTGAGTCAATTTGTCGCATACAGAGGATGCGAAAGAGAGCAAAATGGTACAGCACCGGTCAGGATCCAAAAAAAATTGAGAGTTCCTTCACTTCGACTACAGTGACTACAGAAACATGTCACTGCATTTTTCAGAATAGTTTGCGGACTGTTTCATTTGGTTCCCTTTTCCTGGCTTTTTCAGAATGTTTTCGGGTTCCAATCTCTGAATATACTCTGGCCGAAACAGCTCTCCAGTCAGCTAAGTCCCATGGGGTTCCAATCAGCAATCGCAGCGGGATGGGATGTGGCTTCCAATCATGAACACAACAGATAAATCATAGATATAAATCATAGATAAATCATGGGATGTTGCTCATGTTGCTCATGTTGATTCACCAAATAATTTGAGGTGCCACATTTTACCATATTTTACCCATGACCCATGAAAAAAAGCTGCTCAGTCATCAGGTATTTTTGGGTCTCCCCTCGCTGAGCCCGTTCCGGACAGCTCGTCGTTTGCCTCTTCTGCTCTCAGCTCGGCTCCCCCGGTGAAACACACCACGACTGCGGACAGCGCGCGGCTACATTTGTGACAGGTTGGAACAGAGATGATGGGATGACCACACTGGATGTTATGGGGATGTTATGGTTGTAGAAAGACTATCTGAAGGGATGGTGAAAGGATGTTGAAGTACAAATCTGTCTGAACCCCATTCTTCTGATCCGCTTATACAAATAACATGTGTGTCTATGCCTAGGCATGATCCGTGGGGTCCGGAAAAGCTGAAAAGTCCTGTCGCTCGCGCACCACTGCACTAAGCCGTACGTTCAATGCATTGGTTCGACCAGGTCAGATTACTCACAAGCAAGGCTTCCTGCTCCTGTGGCATCCAAGTGGAGCTCAAGACCTGTTTTCATCAAAGCTACTGGTTCCTAGGAAATTCCTACTTTTTCAATAAATTTCAATAATCTGTTTTAAACCATGTACAGTACAACCCCTTAAATAACCATCAATAACCATCAACAATTGGGGATTTGGTGTATTGCTCAAGTTGCACCCAACAAAAACAGCGTGGAGCAATGGAGCAGTGCCATTCTGAGACTCAGAGACACGGGATTTTTCACTTACAATGGGCTAATGGGGATATATGTTCAACGGTTTACCTGGGATTCTTTATGACGGAAAAAAATACCATGATTGGTAAATGATTTTAAAAAAAACGGTCCAATCGCAGCAAAAGGATTCTGATCCAATGCTTCTCCTGTTCCAAATGACCCAGCTAATTCCCTATGAATCAGATCATAATCCCAAAAAAAAACAGAAGCCAAATAAATCTCAATAGTAGAATCCCCATAAATCCAATAAAAAAGCATTCGTTTGTACTCATAGATCCAAGTTAATGTTTGCATCTGATTAGTGTGAGGGCCCCCCCCCCTAAACAATTTGAGGATACTCTATAACTCGCACTTTTTTTTGCCCCCCCCTCAACATTTGTTTGGTCAATCAACTTAAGAAAGGATTTCAATTTACTTTCAATTGATTTCAATTTACTTTCAATTGATTTCAATTTACTTTTAATTAATTTAATTACTTTTAATTTACTTTTAATTTACTTTCAATTTACTTTCAATTGATTTCAACTTACTTTTAATTTACTTTCAATTGATTTCAATTTACTTTCAATTTACTTTCAATTTACTTTTAATTTACTTTTAATTTACTTTCAATTTACTTTCAATTGATTTCAATTTACTTTTAATTTACTTTCAATTGATTTCAATTTACTTCCAATTTACTTTCAATTTACTTTCAATTTACTTTTAATTTACTTTTAATTTACGTTCAATTTACTTTCAATTGATTTCAATTTACTTTTAATTTACTTTCAATTGATTTCAATTTACTTTCAATTGATTTACTTGGAAAACCTTGCATTTTAAAGCTTTAACATAAATATGGCTTTCTAAAGTAAAAGGACCAGCTTTACCCAAAGAAAGGTGGAGAAAGGGTTTTGTTTTTTTTTTCACTCCCAAAAGTTGGTGCTCACAATAGAGTACCATCCAAACAATTATATTATTGAGTAACTGAGCCACTCATGAGGTACCCCCTTGAAAAATTGTCTGAGTGCTGTTTTTTAATAAGGGTTTAATAAGGCATCTAATTATTTGGAAAACCTTGCTTTTTAAAGCTTTAACATAAATATGGCTTTCTAAAGTAAAGGCACCAGATTTACTCAAAGAAAGGTGAAGAAAGGGTTTTGCTTTTTTTTCAATCCCAAAAGTTGGTGCTCACAATAGAGTACCATCCAAACAATTATATTATTGAGTAACTGAGCCACTCATGAGGTACCCCTTTGAAAAATTGTCTGGATGCTGTTTTTTAATAAGGGTTTAATAAGGCATCTAATTATTTGGGAAACCTTGCATTTTAAAGCTTTAACACAACTATGGCTTTCTAAAGTGAAAGGGCCAGCTTTACCCAAAGAAAGGTGGAGAAAGGGTTTTGTTTTTTTTTCACTCCCAAAAGTTGGTGCTCACAATAGAGTACCATCCAAACAATTATATTATTGAGTAACTGAGCCACTCATGAGGTACCCCCTTGAAAAATTGTCTGAGTGCTGTTTTTTAATAAGGGTTTAATAAGGCATCTAATTATTTGGGAAACCTTGCATTTTAAAGCTTGAACACAAATATGGTTTTCTAAAGTAAAAGGACCAGCTTTACCCAAAGAAATGTGGAGAAAGGGTTTTGTTGTTTTTTTTTCACTCCCAAAAGTTGGTGCTCACAATAGAGTACCATCCAAACAATTATATTATTGAGTAACTGAGCCACTCATGAGGTACCCCCTTGAAAAATTGTCTGAGTGCTGTATTTTAATAAGGGTTTAATAAGGCATCTAATTACTTGGAAAACCTTGCATTTTAAAACTTTAACATAAATATGGCTTTCTAAAGTAAAAGGACCAGCTTTACCCAAAGAAAGGTGGAGAAAGGGTTTTGTTTTTTTTTCACTCCAAAAAGTTGGTGCTCACAATAGAGTACCATCCAAACAATTATATTATTGAGTAACTGAGCCACTCATGAGGTACCCCCTTGAAAAATTGTCTGAGTGCTGTTTTTTAATAAGGGTTTAATAAGGCATCTAATTATTTGGGAAACCTTGCATTTTAAAGCTTTAACACAACTATGGCTTTCTAAAGTGAAAGGGCCAGCTTTACCCAAAGAAAGGTGGAGAAAGGGTTTTGTTTTTTTTTCAATCCCAAAAGTTGGTGCTCACAATAGAGTACCATCCAAACAATTATATTATTGAGTAACTGAGCCACTCATGAGGTACCCCTTTGAAAAATTGTCTGGATGCTGTTTTTTAATAAGGGTTTAATAAGGCATTTAAAATAAAATTAAAAATCTAATAAACATAAATAATTAGAAAACATATTTTTTTTAAAAAAAAAGTTAAAGCATTTGGAAAAAGAAAATGAAAAAAATCTGGAAAAAAATCTCATCTGGAAAAAATCTCACAATAGAGTTCCCCCCCAACAATTTGCATGTGACTGAATTAGGAGCAAGAAATTTCTCACAATAGGGTACCAGGACACTAATCGGGTGCAAACATTACTGTTTTCTGTGTATGTATATACATATATCCCAATAATCAAACACAGTCAACTGTTAATAGATATATGATACATGGGATATACATGGGATATATGATAATTATGTCTCAAAAACAAGGAGGTTTGTGGGTGCCACTGCCTGCCATGCGACTAAAAAAGGCGGCTCCTGAGGACCGTCAGCTCGCAGGCCTCTCAACCTTGGGTCAGCGGTACGTCACAAATATGCGACTAATATGAAAAAAAAATGAAAAAATAGGATGTGGTCATAAGCCAAGTTTTGTGTCATATCTTTGGGATAAACCAAATTCTCAACTGAATTTTCTATCTCAATTCTTGTTGTTGGTGAGTTTGCAATGACCTGAGAGTCTAACCTTGAGATCCTTGAGATCCATGAGGGGTGTAGTGAAAATGCCAACATTCGGCACATTTCGGCACCATGGAAGAGCCCAGTACAATCCTTGAAACAATTGTCATTTCTCCTTTCCAAGGCATGATTGGCTGGCAAACAAAAGGTACAACTAGTTCTTGATAGTTCTTGAGGTGTCACTGCCACTTAGTCTCTAGGCTCTAGAATTTAGATTTTAGTTGAATGAAAAGACACACTTTTTTTTTCCCCCCAGTAGTGTTCTCACTTGGTCGCGCGATGTCAGAGTGCCTGAACCCAAGATCCTGCTGTACCGTACATGGTGAACCCATCTGGGTCCCAGACAGAGCAGCAAGGCTCTTTGTGCGTAGTACTGGACATCGATGTCCGGATCATGCTCCAACCTTTCGTTCACGGCGGATTCCTCTGGATTCCAAAATCCAAAATTCTAGAAAAAAAAATCTCTGAATGGGATCTGTAATGGCTACCCATACCATTGTCAAATTGTTTGGTGAAAAAAAACATGATATATCATGATATTTAATCTCTGCCTGAGTTCCTCATCCTGCTTTTCACCAGCATCCTGAGGCACCAGCTCTGACAAACACGGTTTGATGATCGTGTTGATGTTCTGTGTGCCCAGGCTATGATGCTCCATCCTCAGATCGGGATCGAAGCGGGATCTTTTTGGGGTCCCAACTGGTCCCAACTCTTCCGCACTCGAAGTTCCTGTCGTACCAAGGGACATCCACATAATCGTCCGGCAGGCGCAAAAGCGCACGTTGGGCACGCTATCCTGTTGAAGCGCACGAGTTGGAGATGCCGGCATCCCAAATTTCTCATGGAACCTGGACAAAAGTCATCGAAGATAGGTCAAACGCCTCCTACAAGCTGGAAAAAACAATGAAATTCATTCATCCACTAGAATGGTGGCAAAAATTATAGGTTAAATATCAGTATTAGACCATTTATAGTTAATAAATCTTCATAATATCTTCCCATCTCAGGTAATGAAACATGGTTTATACCATTAAAAACCATGACCCCATTCATCGCAGTGCACCTTGGTGGCCTTTACCAGCAAAGGCACGATGTATTGAACCAGCTGTTCCGGCCTGTCAGATCATTGTGATCCCCTGAAGTTGGAGATCCCTGTTTTTTCGGAGTGGTGAAACAAACACTCCCTGTTTTTATCACTCGAAAATCAAACAAAGATAGTAACATAAACAAACTATTAATGATGTTAATGTCAGTTAATGTCAGTTAATGATGTTGATATTTTGGCGGGAAAATCCAATTCGCAAAGCAATCTTGGTAGGTTGGATCCCCTTTTCCATCCTTTTCCGGTGGGGGTGTCGTCTGGCAGTTGGTATCAATGAAAGCCTCATAGGATCAAAGCGTCAAGATCCCAAGGGTTGGTTGTTAGATCCGTAACCAGACAGCAGCAGTGTCAGCATGAGTCAACTCAACATGTTTCACTTTCACTTTCAAAGCTAGCCTGCAAACTCAATGACACTCCTTTCCGGCCAATGTGACTCACGCATCGAGACCCCGCACGTCATCACAAAGGAAACTTGTGGCAGGACGTGCAGCCTCAGTGTGCGACAGAAATCCAGCCCTCGTGAATCAGTGGGATTTAGCCACGACTTACCTGATTAGCTGCAACTCTAGCGCCAGAGGATATGTTTCCCCTAGTGGAATGGCCCAGTAGCCAAGTTCCATATGGGCCTTGAAAACTGGCCCGTAATAACCAGCGATTTCCCCTGCAAACAACATCACATGCTGCTGGATGTAGAGAAACCACAAGAAACCTCAATCATCTAGTTTGATCCGACATTACAAACAACCACTGCAGAGCTTTTCTGGTGGTTTCAACTCCAAGAACTTTGGCAGGTTGTGCTTAAACATCAAGGCTATGGATGAAATAGCATCAATATTTGAAGCCAAAAGCTCGTGTTGGTGTTTTTTGCTGGCTGACATCCCCATTGTTCATGGTTAAATCTTGATTTGTGTGTTAAATCAGTTAAATCTCTAATCTTTTGGGCTTAATCTCCATCTTTGATGGATAGAAGTGATATGAAGTGATAGAAGTCCCTTCCTTGTCCCTTGTGATTCCTGGCTCAGTTTCTGGGAACTTCTATCCCTCCAGCCCTGGAAAATTCTGCACATTCCAAGCTATCGGACGTTGTCACGCGGTTGGCATAGCCAACGCTGCCCGAGTACTGTTCCACCAACTTGGGCCTTGCAGTGTCTGCAAAGAGTCACAACATCAGGATATATGACAGGTAATTGCAAGTCGGTTCAGGTAACCAACATGGTCAGGAAATCGTGACCAAACTTGGCATTTTACTTTTCTTCACGTGAGGTAACAAAAATCAGGTATTGGCACATACTGCAGCTTATTAGCTTTTACATGGTTTTACTATCTTTTTTTAGACACAATAGGGCAGAAAGTCACAGTCGGAGTGTCTTTGATGGGAATCCAACAGCCCTCTGAGTCTCAACAAGAGATGCTCCACGGTCCATTGTGAGCCAAAGGTTTCAGCAATGTCCTTCAAGTGCTGAATCGCAGCCTGTAACACTGGTCGTGATCGCAAAGGCCAATCCAAAGGGGCTAGAGATGTAATCCCTCAACAGCCCCGTCATCTTCAAATATCTCAAATAATTGTAGTCTTTAATTTCAGTTTGTAGTTAGAGTAGTTAAAGTAGTTAGAGTAGTTAGAGTAGTTGTTCCTAGATCTTCCAAACATCATGCGTCAAGGATATTTGATTGATATGTTTAACCGTTTAACCGTTTAACCGTTTAACCAACCCACGTGCATGGCGCGGCACCTGTCGCACTGAGTGCACAGAGTCTCGAAGGCTCGAGAGGAAGATGCTCTGGGGCACAGGAAGAGGATCAGGCGACAAATGGATTGCAGCAAGATTCAGGTGGCACATCAATTGGGACAAATAACTTATCAAATAACACATGTTCAACAAATAAAAAGGTAATTGATTGTGACAGAATAACTGATTTAATTATCAAATAACACATGTTCAACAAATAAAAAGGTAATTGATTGTGACAGAATAACTGATTTAATTATCAAATAACACATGTTCAACAAATAAAAAGGTAATTGATTGTGACAGAATAACTGATTTAATTATCAAATAACACATGTTCAACAAATAAAAAGGTAATTGATTGTGACAGAATAACTGATTTAATTATCAAATAACACATGTTCAACAAATAAAAAGGTAATTGATTGTGACAGAATAACTGATTTAATTATCAAATAACACATGTTCAACTTAAATATTAAATTAAAACATCTGGCTGATTCTAGATGTGAGTCTTTTTGATTTTCGGGAATCTTCTCAGTCGAACTAGGTCCTGATTCTCCTGGACACCCTGAATTTCAGCCAGAAAAAGGTGTTCATTTGTCCATCTGGGATCCAGAAGAAGAACTGATGGGCTGCTGCACCTCCAGCTTGGACTGGAACATCTCCATCCCAAAGAGCCGGGACTCAGGTCGCATGGTGTCGTATCGCAGCGATTTGGGAGGAAAGATAAGGTGTAAAAGAGCTGGAAAAAACAAAAACAAGAACAGACCTTCAGAATTCTGTGGGGCCTAACATCACATGATTTGACACCAAAACTGAGGCTTTGGAAATCTTAAATCTCATAGCCATCATAGCCATCATAGCCATCCCGGGCCATCTGAGGAGGGCACCAGCTTGGGTACTTGCTCCACGACACTCTGGCGGATTCGCCAGTGGTTATCCATGATGAGATTCTGCACGGTGTGCAGCAGCGAATGGACCTCAGCTCAGTCTGGCGGGATTCTCCGAAGCGTCAAGGTCAGTGATAGAGCAGACTCAGCGACCTTCCAATCTTGCATGCTTGGAATCTTTCACAAAGGTGAAATGTTGGCCATGTTTGGATCATTCACATGTCTCAGAAACGAGCCATTCAAGCCACGTTTACCACCACAAATCGGGATCATAAAACCGAAGCAAGCTCATGGTGGCATGGTTCCTGCTATCATCACCTATCATCCATTGAATTTTGGGCCTCTCCTCGTGTGATTCCTCGAGATTTCGCCGGTGTCACCGGTGAAACAGAGTCCCTGACCAGGCCATCCACGCTCAAAACTTCACAAATGAGACCCGCATGGGACACGATGTTCAGCCGCACATCGTGGAACTCGTCCTGGAATTTTGAGGGGCGTTCAGAAGCGGGAATTAAAAATGGGACACAATCTGTCAGGGGAAAAAAACACCAAATGGAGCACAATTGAAAAGAATTAGATATAGTCAGATATAGTCAGATATAGTCGATGCATTTGGGAAGTTGTCAGTAGTGTCATCAGAAATTTCATTGGGATGTTTTTCCCTTACAGCTTTCATGCGCTGCAGGCCGGGTATCCTTCATGAGATCCGAGATGAGGCCTGGCCGTTTTCGTCGTGAAAGTGATATCGCCTGGCCTATCACCATCACTATAGTACAGTAAGTTGGATGTATAAATATTAGTTCAGACATCTCATCACCATCACCATCACCATCACTGTCGCATTGCACTCCCTAAAATCCACGTCGGGAATCATTGAGCATAGATACCCTATCGTCCCTATCCAATCGCTATAGTCGCTTACTCCCAAAGGTGTTTTCCCTCATTCGGGCAGGTTCCAAACCCCAGGGAATGAAATCTCGCGGGATGCCCTCAATATCAGCATCATTTCTAGGCTTCACTCCGCCTTTTTGATGGGTAAAATTGCAAATCAATGGTAAAAAGGTCATTTCTGTCATTTGAAGTGCAATTTTCCTGGCGAAATCTCCTGATCTCAAGGCGAAATCCTGGAGTGAAATCTAACCAGTCTCTCCGTCGGTTGAATCCACCTTGCTTCAGATCCTTCATTTTCGCTGGCCGCATCCGGATTTTGTTGCAAAAATGCCATACAAAATATACAAATTCAATGCTTCAGTTTCCTAGATTTTCCCAATGTTTATCAAGGTTATATCCCATGTTCCATGGTTTCAGCAATAACATCACAATAGGGCGGCTGGGGCCCGCACTCAGAAGCTGCCGTTGAGTCACCTTGGTCTGAGATTACCAGGTGGTTTTCCAGGGAATTGTCACAGGAAACCCGGGTTTTTACGCCCTAAAACTGGGGAAATCAGCTGGTGATTGAGGTGATATTTCAACCTCCTAACCAAGATGAGAAAAGAACTGAAGAAGCCATATTTTGCCATGGTTTTATACTCAACTCCTGTGGTACCCTGTGGTACCCCATTTTTGACCCATTCTTTGATTCTGCCCATTCAAATCCTATGCTTTGTCATCATTGTCCACATCAAAGTGGTTAGTTTTCGCATCTTTCCCATGTTTGCACCATGTTTGACTCATGTTTGATTAATGTCTATTAGTCACATCCCATGTCCACTCAAAATTCGACCCAAGATATCTAGATAAGTGGAACTACAGAAATGTATAGTAATCTCACCATTTATACCACAAAATCTCTGGAAACTCCTAGCCGTTCTACTCCCACGCGCGTTGCGCTCCAAGGAACGTCGCGACCCAAGGCTTTGGCCACGGGACCTAAGACCTGCGCCAAGGCCTTAGTGCGGATTTTTGATGGTTGGGCCCTAGGGTTTTAGGGGTGACGGGTTTGGCTACCGGGAGGAGATAGGGGGTGTGCTTATATGGTGTTCATAGCTTTACATGGTTTTAGAAGGTTCTTACCAAGAAAAGTCGGAGATTTATATGATGGTATAAACTATCCAACTACCAGGAAATATGGGTGATCCTCCAATCAAAATTCGGATGATGTGTGATCTTATCCGCCGCTTACCAAGAAAATGGGATCATACTGATTTTACCAGGAAGAATTGGGATTGAATGTTATCAAATTGAGGAAAAGTTACCATGAAACATGGGAGTTTCACAAGGGAAAAGCGGTGATGTCACAAGTGGACAGGAGATTGAACCAGAGGAAAAACTTGTGAATCTTCAACCGACCAACGTTTGGCACTTCGGAATCCAAATTGACTAAATTGGATGGTCAAAACGGAGGATGATCGGCCTCAATCTGCATTGAAACATTGGTCAATGTGTTTGACCCACAAAAAAAATATCATATACAAAAAAAACAAATATATGTTGTATATGGTCAAAAGAAAAAACGAATTGATGGTTCCTAGTCATTCAAATATATCTACCCTCTGATTATTTAGCATAGCTATGGAAAATGGCCCATTTATAGATGATAAACATGATGATTTACCAGAAATGGTGATTTACCAGAAATGGTGATTTTCCATAGCAAACCGTTCAATAACCAGATGGTAAATAGCTATATTCACTATATTCACTATATACCAGTTGTGCTCCCCCTGTGCTTTGTTAAATCCCATGTTTTCTTGGGCACCACACAGCTCGCACCGACTGCGCAGAGTCGAGGCCCAATTGCTGGAACTGTGGCCTCAGAGTTGATAAACACCGGGGATTCGCTAAACCATCGAATCTATAAAAATCTATATATATATATATACATATTATGTATATATATAACTATATGTACAAATTGACAAAGACGTATGTTAATGATTAATGTATATCAACATGTGTCAATATGTAATCTAAAAATAGTAATAAACAAATTGAAAAATTGAACTGAGTGTGTACTTTTCTATCTATCTCCCCCGAAAGTATTGGGGTTGTTCCCCAACCTTACCAGGATTACATGTTTAGCTTGGCATCATGAGGTCCATGAGACTGTAACTTATTTCAAGCGGATCTGCTGAGGGATCTGAAATATCTCAAACTTACGATAGCAAGCCACAAGCCGTGCGGCAGTTGCGAAACAGGTGGATCCTCTCACTTGGGATCCAGTTTAATCAGTTGATGATTTGTGGCGGAAACATGTTTTGATCCAAATTTCAAATATATCTAAGGAGTGACCAGAATCCAGCCGATATAACATGATATAACCGAGTTCCCATCCCAGACAAAGGGATGAGCCGGCTCATGATCCGAAAAGACCTGAGGTCCCCTGGCAAAATGTGCTGCTGAAGTTGCTCGCTGGTCAGTGGTTCCGGCCTTGTCTGATCCCGTGTTCGAACCACGTGAAGGTCCCAAATGATCATATTAAATATGTGGTGCTAATTATTATTAATATTTATTAATGTTAATATTGTGAACATATTAAAATGATTTGGAATGTATGGTTATACATCAAAGGTTATATTAATGAATGGTCTTTGATGATAGTTTCCACGTGAAGATTCAGGTGTTCATCCAGCATGGTCTATCCGACTCTATCCGACTCTATCCGAGCCGTCCCCTCTGTTTCTCCCTGTCCATGGTGCTGAGATTCCAAGCAAGTTCAGGCATGCCTCAATAACACGCACTGCTTCCTTCCTCACCTCCTGCTCATTGTCCTGGCCGAGGCACAAGGACAGGCAGGACAGGCACAGAGATTCCAGCAAAACATGGGGCATTCAACGAATCGATGTGGGAATTGCAATGAAGATTTGCCGAGCAGAAATATATAGATTCAAGCAAGAAAAATAAAACGATCAATAGAAATAATGATAGCAGCAACCATCTTTTCGGAGTTGAGGGTACTTGGTACACTGATGGTGCCGAGTTAAGTGCTGAGTTAAGGGGGGCTCATAGTTGCAACATACACTATGTTTTCCAAGATATGTTCATCCAAATTTTGCCACCCAATTCATCTCCCCAAGGGTGGTTCCAAGGCAGGCTGGGTCCCATGCACCCAAACTCCAGGGACATGGGTAGTTAGTTCACAAGATTTCACAAATATGTCTGCTACCTGGACGATACATTTTCCAACAAAAAATGATGACTCAGATGACCCTTAGACTCTAAAGTTTCTAAAGACAAAAGTAAATTCATTGGCAGGATATCGATTGACTTTTCATGGGACATGATCCTCCACCAAACAGAATATGCTAATGTGCTGTGCTGCAGACATGTCCACCTACCATTCACCAAGTGTGGTATCATGCCCAGATCATATCCCATGTAACCCCAGACATATCCAAAAAGTTGGATGGTACCATCTGGCTAAAGTTAGTCCGAAACCTGATTGAACCCCCAAGATTCATAATGATTTCTGGAATCTAAGAATTAGACCTAAGTTGACAAAGCATGCCGTTTCAAAAAAACACCAAGATCTCCCGACGATTGTGGCTGGAATCATTTTTCGCTATGGATGCCTAGAATTCATACGTTTCCAACGGCACTGTACCCAAGTATTCCTAGTGTATTCCTAGTGTTGCTTGTGTTTTCCCCGCTCTTGTTTTGTAAGAAAGGAAAAATAGAGATGCTTTGGTTCACATCCCAACTTGTGGTCTAACAGTTCTGATAACATACCAATTCGACTATGTATACATATACATGTGTTGATGTATCTCATCTATGCCGACCCCCGACCCCCTCCACCTTCATCAACTGAATAAATGGTTGCATCAACTTTTGAGCCGTGAGCTCCGGGCCTCACGATTGAAAGAATGGTGATAGGATAATCATGATAAACCACGGGACTTTTGGGTTCCAAATTGTTGAGACCCCATATCGGACTTATACCCAGGTTTCACAGTGGCAAAAATGTCCAAATTCCACAGTGCAGTCGATTCCTCTCAGTGTCAAATCCCCCAAATTCTTGCTGGCCAAACCCTATTTTCTTGTAAAGAATGAACTTCTGCTACTTACGTCTGAAATTCTGGTCAATTTTGCCTCATTGAACCTCAACTGTTTGCTCTTTATCTTTTCTCTGCCAATCAGGTTGCAGTTCCAGGTTCAATGAGGTTTGCCCATCCATCCTTCGTTGCTTCAAGTCCCAGGTTTTCACAATACATCTCCATCAACTGGGCTGCCCAACCAAAGGCTTGACACAGTTGATCAAAGTTTTTTGCCACCGTCAGCCTGGTTTAACACTGAGTCAAGTTGAGTCAAATGTTTAACCTTTTGGAAATACTGGGTAAACGGGTAAACCATCGTTTATAATAATGACATATATATATATATAATGTATACATATAATGTATACATATACACATACTCTGGTGAATTCACACAACTCTGGTGTATATTGGGTACACCAGCAGTTACATTAAAGTATACCCAGTTGCGTTAAGGAGCATGGTTCGCTCACCCAGTTAAATTTTGGGTATACTAGCATAATATGACATATATCAAACATTAATATACAATTATATACATAAATATACACATGAGCGAGTGTACTGCATGTACTAGAAATATAATTGGGCTGACCATGGTTACACAATAGTGGTATTACTGGAACAATTTACTGAGCAGGTACATCAACCTACCATATTGTTGGGGAGTTAACCTATCACTATCCACCTATCATTTTGTAGAACTGTTTTTGACCCTATGATTGAATATCACGCCAATATAGCCTATGGCTATGATTGGGGATTTGGCCTACAAAGCAATGGTTTAACTTACAAACTTACAAGTTTATGAACTGCAAAATTTAGGGGCCACTAAGTGGTCAATTTATGTCCGTTTCTGGTAACTGGGGAGATCTACAGTATGCCGTTATGGTTTCAACCATCACCTGTCACTCTCAACTTCTGGAACGAGCTCATTGAGGCCCAATTGGCTCTGCGATTTCTCAAAAACCAGGTCTCAGATTCCTCCACCGAGCACATTGATGAGGTTTCTCCATCATTCTTGATGGTGAAATCCTGTCTTTGATGTTCAGATCACCAAGTGTCTTTCGTTGAGTAAATCTCCATCATTCATCTCCATCTCGTTTCGACCCACAAATGATTGCTCCCTGGAAACAATCAGAAAGCTCCCCTCTTTCGCCTGTAACTGGCATTGTTTCAGTGAAATCTGACAGCAGACCATACCAAAGAACTTCGAAGCCAAGTCTGGGACCTTTGAATTTCCGAATTCCGTAGTCTTCCCACAGATTTTTTTCACATATTATATTGGAATCCCACCCGACCCCAGTAGAAAAGCATCCGCTCCGCTCCGCACCTTACACGCCAGGATCGATCTTCTGCAGCCTCCTTGATCACGGTCACGGTGTGCTGGCGATTCCTCATCCGAGTCATCCAGTCATGTTGTGAACTTGACAAAGACAGTTGATGCTGTTGATACTGTTGATGCCAGTTGGACTCCATGTTGCAAACATCGTCAAATCATGTTACCATTATTTTTTGATATTTTTTGGATGTTCATGGATTTTCCATTATAAACTTTATCAACCATCTATTTTGGGGTACCCCCATAAATTGGGAGACCTCCATATCTTACAGAAAAAAACCACTGGGGCCCTGGGACTCCAACTCGTCGGCATTTAACATCTTGGCGATGACTAAGGTCGCGTGGACGCAAGCCACTCGGATCGTGTCCTCGCCATAGGACATGACAGTAGGATGGAAATGGATGGGATATCAATGGATATCAGATTACCCTCTGGTAATTTAACATAGCTATTGAAAATGGCCATTTATAGTGGATTTTCCCATTAAAAATGGTGGTATATCAGATTTACCTATTCTTTTTGGAGGTAAATTATGGTAAATTGGTTCCAGAATTTGGAACAATCCCATTTCGGAACTGGAACGCAAATGGCAACTCAAAAAAAAAAGGCACGTCTCGGGGGATATGAAAGTAAATTTGCATGGAGTTTCATCCCTCCCTATGAGCAGGACTCTACAACCCAGACCCCATGCCTTGCACGTTCAGCTTGTCACAATGTCCTGTGTGTCTTCCTGCGACAACTGTTTGTAGACGCCAATGAGGTCTGTGAGAAGGTCCTCAGCATGCAGTGGGAACAGAGCAACCGATGGAAAATTCCCCATTTCCATACAGATCCATACAGTATCCACATTTCAAGGTTGCTTTCCTGTTGTCACTAACTAGTTTATCCATGTTTATCCAGGTTGACACATTTGACACAACTACTTCGAAAATCTGGGATTCGTTGGACACCTTGGAATGGAAATTCACCAAACGCGTATCGTGTAGGTGGATAATCTATCACCTGTGCATTTTGCTGCCAGCCTTTTGATCATCCAAACAATTGACATGTTTTTCGGCCATGTATTCATGTTCATCCGGAACAGAAGTTGAACTTGCCGTGGTTGCCATCCAGTCTATCCTTAGATATTTCTGAATAGGAAAGAAACTTGAGTGAAAAACTAAACCAAGCAAACCAACCAAACCAACTATTCACCAAACTGCACCCATTGAATCCCCATGTTTGGTGGTTAAATCCGGTTAAATCTCAATTTTCACCCAGTAAAACCAACCAGTCACCGCGCTTCACCCAGGATCCTGTTTGGCACACACGGACACAAAGTCTCGCATCTTATGCGCTGCCGCACGACGCACCATGGGCGTTTCATCCGCACAGAGCATTGTGAAGGCCTGGTTGAAGGGTGGTTTTGGGGGGGTGTGGAAGGGTATGGGGATTGCGATCTAAAGGATTATGCGTGTTGTGGCCCGATTCAAAACGGGCGCCGAAAAACATGTCAAAGTTCATTCTTAGTGGGATCTCAAAAATCCGCCCGAAGAATTGCTAAAAGGATATAAAGAGTTGGAAAGATCGGCAATTCACAAAGGTTTACAGCAGGTCATGTTGCCATGGTGAAAAACTTGTGCCAACCCACAAACATTATGTAATCATTCTTGGTACTAAACCCAGGGGCATCTAAGATCATGTGAGTTCAGGTTCGAAATCTGTTGCTTGTACACGCCAAGGCAAGCGTGCTTGGACGTTCCCTGAGGCATTTCATGGATGGTACGCGGTCTGTTCAGCCCCCGATGTCAATATCTCACCTTTCTTGGGCATAAGCCATAAGCAAAATACTGCCCGTGTCCAAAGCATGATTTCTTGCTTGAATCTCCACTTTCGATCGCTTCAAATCACCTTAGTTCCCATCCCTTTCCCTCTGACTCTAAACATAAACAATCATAAACACCTAGAAATCCGAGATTGGATCGCTTGCAGTTTGCGGTATGGGAACCAGTCGCCTTGCGAAGGCCTCCCTTTTGATCTTCCTTCACCTCGGTGATAAAAAACCATGCAGAGTCCATCCTGTGATTCGTGTATGGAAAATGATGGATACTTCGAAATGGATTTTGCTTAATGTTTATGAGGAAATTGGTATGGACCTGTGATGACCAGTTGGGTTGGGAAAACATGTTTCCAGTTGTTGAACCATCAAGGGGATTTGAAAACAGCTCAAAACACCATGATGGCTGTATGGATATCAATTGGTCAATGAGAGTTTCCCCATGTTTATCCACATTTATTGAAATGACCACTGGTCAAAGAATGGCTAGTGGTAACTTGAATATGTTTATATGACTTTGTCTAAAAATTGGCTACCCCAAAATCCAATGGTTTATCATCATTCTCCTTATTCAAATAGCCATTTCAAGGGTATATCAGGTATATCTGCATATTCCCATTTGCAGACACAGTGACACAGCTACATGCTAATGGCTGATGGGTATCCCTAATTCCATCGCGACCCCATCCATGTTCCATGCTGAGGACGCCAGGCATGACGATAGGCCAAGGGCAACAGGGCCTTGATGCGATGGGTCAAGCTTTGACTTCGATTTTAAAGAAATTGGATGATGAACTGCTCAAAATTGGGCCCAAATCTCATATTCATCATATTCATTGGTTTAGTTTCAAGGAAACAAATGAAAACCTAGCAGAAACCATGGTCTGTTTCCCATGTTTCCCGTAATCTGTGCCTTCGTCTAATTCAAAAATGAGCCCTGGGGGCCCTGGGGGCCCTGGCACAGGCAGACACACGCGCCGTGAAGAAATCGGTCTTCGTGGCCAAGCGATGCAAAGTTGGCACCTCAGCGCCGTCACTTCAGAATCGGGAGAGCATCAGCAACCGGGTTGGCCATGGATACCAGGAAAATCTGTTCATCTTTTTGGGGATTGGCACCAAAATGTTGCTGCCTTTCTTTTCTTGCAAAATTCTGTGAGGAAGTCAAAGCTCACACGCCGAGGATTGGACTAGGTAGTCGGGGGCCAGAGCCGGCCTCGAAAGTGATTTCGAACAGTTGGCCATCTCTAAAAGTGGTTGGGTAAGCTGTGAGACTTCGATGCTTTGATCGCCACAAAAGGGGGGATATTCACCAGCAGTTGGATCAAATTCAGTGGTGCAACCCCCATGGATTCCTCGGTGGACCAGCAGCTGACCTCTTCTCAATGACCTTGCAAAGGGATTGAATTGCCTGGCAGGCGGTGTGTCCTTCCGAATACACCACCAGTTGATATTCTTTTGAGTCGACCAAGCCAAAGCCAGGCGTTTCAAAGTGTTTTTGAGATATGTCTCCAATTTCAGGGATAAAACCCCTGGATCTTGACCATTTATGTGTAGAGATCATAATTGTAACCCATCCAATTTCAGGATGTTTCAGGGACATGGACAAACCCAGCTCCGCCTGGTCGCGGATCACTGTCTCCTCTTGTGCAGCCAGATGTTCCAAAGGTGCGATGAGCCTCAGGTGGATTTTGGATATAGCTCAAACTCCGGGGTGCCACAGCACTGGGGACTTGGCGAAATTATCACTGTATAGCACATATGAAGCAACAAAAATGCGGATTTGAATCAATGGAGCAGTGCTTTAAAAAATCAACCATTGACACACCAAATCAAGTTTCACCCAGAAATGTGGACCTCAAGGAACTCTTCGTTTCAGACTTGCTCCAAGGCGGCTGCATTTCGTCATTTCCGTTGATGTAGTCAGAGAGAACTGCATACTGCCTGAAGCGGGGAGAAAATGATTAAATGAGTGCGTCAAACTCTAAGGCCCAGTAGTCATTTCAGTCGTAGACCCACCTAAAAAGCCAGTTGTTCGGGTAATCATAGGAATCCCAGCTGTTTTGATGCTTGCCAATAGCTGCATGCTTAATCCAAGCTTCTACCACCCAAAAAAAACGCATAAGCCCTTTCACATTGGATTGCCAATGGGGTAGGAACTGCTTAGCACATTAATACCCATAGATTGTGTGCAATTTATAGAGGTGTTCTAGTCACTGTTTATCCATATATGCGTCTGTCTGAATTGGGGAACACCTCCAGATGGCAATGTTAATGTGAAAAATCATGATTGACAATCTTTCAGACAAACCTATAATTATATATATATATATACCTAACACTATGATATGATATATAATAATGATTCTAATGGCAATATAATGATGATAATGATGGTGATACTAATAATGATAATCAATAACAATAGTAATAGTAATATATACAGCAACTTTAACCCCACGACCCATCACAGGACAACCGCCTTGCCATGGAGTATAGGAACTCATCATCGTTGCACAGGGGCTCCTCCTGAACGACCTGGAGCGCACAGAAATTTGAGAAACCTCCAAAACAGCCATGTTGAAAAAAAAAAAATCAGAAAATCATCCCCAATTTTCATCAATTTTCCCATCTTTGGATATCTGGAGGGTCGAAATTGGTTGAAATTTGGATATCGTTCATCCCGGATCATCCCCCCAAAAACTATGAAAACTCGTGGTGTTTCGCGGCGCGCGCACCTGCACAACGTACGGGATGAGCTCACTTACTGTCCTCTGAGGACCAAGCGCCTTGGAAGATTCTCAAGGAAATGAGGCAAAATTGGGGATTGGTATGATCACTAAAAGGAGTAAATAAATGTAAATGGATGGTATTTATTTGGGTTGTAAGCAGTTGTAAGCAGTTGTAAGCCTTTATGAATCGGAGATTTCAGGATATTGGAAGATTCTGTGTTTTCAGACACTCAGCCTCCAGGGATCAGCTGAAAGACCCAAGTGTTACCATCCTACCATCCCCTGATAGTCCAATCTTTGTTGGCCCTCCCATGTCACCATGTCATGATATTCCCATGTTGGTGGAGTCCACATCACGGCTAAAGTTTCTTTGTTTATGTTGATAAACTATGATAAACTTCCTAATTTGATCTAATTTGCTGATTACACAAATTACACAAATTACACAAATTACACAAATTACACAAATGACACATCGTAAATCCCATGGTGTTTGATACAAACTCCGACTGCCAGAGATCTTAGGAGGTGACCGAAGCGATGAGATGCAACTGGTTCACGGCACCTCATGGGCAGGGCACCGCTGGCAGGATCATATGGGTCATATGGGTCATTTGGATCGGGATTTAGAGGATTGATATGGACCGTTGATCTACCCCCCATCTCACATGGCTGGAAATTCGGAAATTCCGGCTGGAAATCTTGATGTTACCATCATTGTCGGAGCATTGAAAGAAATCGCTGGTTTTTATCTACGAGCATTGACAGAGATATGACTGGTTTGCTCAAAGCCATGAACTGATCTATAATTGAATATATATATATATATTATATACATACATTTATAACAATATATAATTGAATATAATTGATAATCATATTTTAAGATATTTTAAGAATTGGTTCAAGGCCATGTTTGGCCCAATACTCTCTCTGATTCGGTCCTTTCAAGTCAGCCTCCAAGGCTCCAAGGCTCCGGCCGATTTTGATGGTGGCGTTCTCATTTCTGATTTCTTCCTGTGTCGGAAAGTCGACAAAACATGACAAAACATGAGAAAAACCAAGAGAGTTTAGCCGAGTTTGGCTTCTTGTGGTCATCATCAACAACATCATCATCCAAACAGACTCTACCGAGGCATCCTCTGAACCTGCGTCAGAATTCAAATTAATTCAAGTTGCCTTTAGATTCGGCAGACTACTTTCTAACATCCAACTTGGGGGTCATCAGGTCATCCCCGTGTTTGTTGGTGTCATTCCCATCTTTGGTGCCCTTGTCACTTGTCTTTAACCTATCCCATTCTTAAAAGATCTGCGCAAGCCACGTCTCAAACAATGTCCTTGAAGAACTCCAGGCAGTTGAAGTCAGCTCCAGAATTTCCTGGGTTGATGTTTTTGCTAACCTTCTACAAGGTTCAATAAGTTCCATGGACTTGAATGGGTCATTCAGCGATGTGGTTTTTTGGCGGCCTCAATCCGCATGTTTGCGGGAAATCTAAAAATTGCAGTTTAGGAGGATGATTCCAAGGTTTGCTGGTTCCATCCTCACGTTTCCGAATTTCCTCGAATAGAAGCAAACACCTGGCGATGTCTCAAGCCACTGGGTAATAATGATTGAAAACGGTGGAAAATCTCTGCTTGACACTTTGGGTTGGGAAAACTTACATTTGATCCACACCTCGAAAAGCCACACTTGGCAGTGGATTGAAAGTTGACAGCAACAGACACGGTTTCACCCGGTTCACCGTCTCAAGCGTCTCAAGCGTTCCGTTTCACTGGGGTGTCCGGGCCCGCCATGGGGCGGGTAGTCCAAGTCACAAGTTTGGTTCTGGAGCCAAAGGGGCTGCAAATCCCACTTTTTGCAGATGATATGAGATGATGATGTGTTGTGAGCAACAAACGAGTGTCCAAAAGGTGTTCATCAACTCAATCTCAAGATATCTTAAGTGTCTCTGCAAAACGAGAGGAGAACTGCTCTTCAACAAAAGCAACCCTTGTGTAGACATTTTTCGAATGCAGTCTTCTGATCGAAGCCTGTTGAAAAAGCCAACTGCGCCAGGGTGTAGGGCCCCTTTGGATCAAAAGCTCACGATTGCCGACCCAAACTGCCTAGCTCAAACTTCCTCACCCCCAACTTCCTCACCCTCGCCGCTCTTGCCCCAGTGGTCCCAGCAGCCATTGGGAGTACGCTGGGTGTAGTAGTCCGCAGCACGCTCGGGCTTGTCATATGGCACCTTCATGTAGTCCTGAATGACTCCCTTGTCATCCTTCTTCCAGGTGTAGATGTAGTTCTCCTGCTTCTTTGCTGGCTTGATGGGCAGCACGTAGAGGCCGCTGGGGTGGGACATGTCAGGGTCTTTCTCGTTCACCCACTTGGAAGCAGCCATCCTCACCACTGCGCTCTGCGGCCTCTTGGGTGCTGCTCCCGTGAAGCTGGGGCCCCAGAACAGGCATGCCAGGGCACCCAGCAGCAGCAAGCTCGAACCGGCCTGAGATCAATGGAAGGGACGCCTCCTCTCTTTTCTGAGTGCTGGAAATCCCTTTGATACGCTATATCAGACTTATCGCTCTGCACCAACAAACCCATGTTCAATAATTAGTTTGCCCACATGGGATCCCCTTATCGGCCAAGCAGCACGAGTCATGGCTAATCGGTGACCCCTGGGACCCCTGGAACTTCGGCAATCGGTGACCCACTGAGGCGCGTGGGTTGAACCGGAGATGCCAGCAACAATTCGATTCAATTGCCACAAGTGTGCCGCAAGGCCCTGGTGAAACTGATGTTTTTTTAGATGTGGATAATGGATGTTATTCAACCATCAACCAATCGATGGGGTCCCATCTCTGAATCGCTGGTCGGACCATGTCTGAATCTCCCAGTCCGGCTGGCCATGTTCCAACTGCAGAAGTTCAACCAGAGCTGATCCATATCTCAAATACAAACCAAACTCACCTGGAATTCATTGGAGAGAGAGAATCTGCAGGTAAACCATGTTTGGTCCAAAAAACACCTATGGTTTTCTCCCATGTTTCGCCAAAATCAACCGCTCTGAACCTCACAGATGTCCGATCTCTACGCATCTCACTCTTTTAAAGCGTTCCACCGTTTCAAGCATCGCAGGTTCGGTCTCAAGCCGCGCATCTCAGCAGATGGCTGGGGCCTCAAAGCGGATGTTGATCGTGTGTTTTACTCAAACAGGTAAGAATGTCCCGGTTATGAGGATTGGTAAAACGAATTATGAATATTCTCTTGGATTTTTCATTCTAATCGGAGTTATCAGGGTTATCAGGGTTATCAATCAAAAAGCGGAAGAAATATAATGAATTGAAATGATTTGGGAGTTTACATCCCACGAAATTGCAACCCTGGATCCAAAAACCCCTTGGTTTGTATAGATGTTCTGTCACTTTTCGGGGTTCCCATTAATAAATCAAGCAGGGTTCACAAATCACGGCTGGTCGCTAAGGTGAATCCCATCTACCAATCTACCTATCAGGCTGGTGGCTTTGAACCCTACCCCGAGAATCAGAAACCATCAAAAACACAGGGTGAAGGTAAGAAATGAACGATACCACCAGATCAAGGATTTTCGTCAGATTCCATCGTTATGAACTGATGATGTTGTCCAACTTCCTCTCGACTGACACCCAACTAAACTCCTATTGCCAAGACTTCCCATCCAAATGGATTTGAAATGAAACATGGACCATGAATCCAGTGATCTCCAAAAGAGACAGCAAAGTAAAATCAAAATCAAATTTGTAGCCAAGTATTATATATATACATATATACATATATACATATATACATATATACATATATACATATATACATATATACATATATATATACATGCATATGTATACATATATGTATGTATGTATGTATGTATGTATCTATATCTATATCTATATATATATATATGTATGTATGTATGTATATATGTATATATGTATGTATGTATATATATGGTACCCCCCCAAGACCTACCTTTTTGTGGTTTTTGTGTATACACATATTAGGGTCATTCTTGGGCACTGCGTCGCAAATCTCACTGAAAACCCATGGGTGTCCTCACATTTTTCCCTGAGCTCCCCACGCAGCTGGCGATCTTCGGCCAAAGCTCTGCGCACTCTTTCGCCACGGGACCCTGCGTGGCATGGGTCCCCTAGGGCAGCCGGGACCGGGTTGTGGTTCTCACCGTAGGAAGAAAAGGCTATGAGAGCGGAGAATTTGAAAGTCAATTGGGATCGTCCCAATGATGGAAAAGAATGCATCGAAAACACCAGATAGAAGCACGGTTTATTGGTGCTGTTCCCAGTGTTGCTACTTCCCCCCTTGATTCCTCAAAAACCAGCAACTTCTTCACCTCGGAAAACTTGCCTGAATGGCTGAACCCTTCATCTCGCCCTTGTCGTTGACGATGACTCCGGCATTGTCCTGGAGCCAAACCACAAATGGATCAGTGTCCCCCTGGATGTTTCTTCCCATCGCACATCGGTTCTAAACCCGTCCTCTGTGGAAATCCATGATGAAATTTTGTTTTTTTGGATGAATGTCCAAACAGCTCTGAAGCCCATTGTTGCTGGTGATATTCCCGTAAATATGTCTTAAAAGTTTTTTCTATTATACGTATATATATATATATATATTATGTAGAAACGAGGTATCAGCCGGGATAAACCACTAAATACACCCTGCACTCAGAGCATGTTTCTTGAGCCATTGCCACACGGTAGTATAGGTGAGAAGTGTGATACGTAGATATATACTGTGCATCAACACCCCCCGTGCAGTGAAACTACTATACAAGAGGGTGAAGCATCATCATCGGGAGGTCCGCCTCCAGGAAGACCTGGGGGCTTGGAAGGTCCTGCCGCACTATTGTCATCATCCGCATCGGATGAAGGAGCAGGCTTCTTGCCGCTTGAATCAAGCTCTACAATGATTGGCCTTGATGGTTGAGACGTTGATTGCTGAGGTTGACCTGGCCCATAGTGAATTTCAAGTCCAGGAGTTCCCTCCAGAGGTTGAGACTTCAGACTTCGAATCACTTCTTTCTGTTCTTTCCGAAGCTTTTCAATCTCTACCTCAAAATTCTGTTTCTGAGAATCGGCCGCTCTTTTCATGTCCATTGCATGTTGGTTCATGGCATCGAGCTGAGTGCGATACTCTGCAAGTTCAGAACGAGCTGTACGCAAATCGGCATTGGACTTGTCTACAGACGCTGACATAAGACCTGCAGTGTTAACAATTTGGCTAAGTTCGGCACTCAATTCCTTGATGCGATGATCTTGCGCTTGGACATGCAAGTGAGCAGATTTCTGCTCGCTCATCGCGTGGGCAGCTTGTTCGTTCAACAAAAGGTTCTTCTTAGAAATCTCATCGGCTGCTCTTTGTTCAATGCTTGCAAGACGATCCCGAGCTTCGCTCACAAGCGTTTCCCTTTGACGTTCCATGACCTCAGAGTGAAGCGCATTGGCCTCAGTCAGTCTGCAAAGCTTGCTGCTGCGCAGCCATCAGTTGACCTGCCAGGGTTGGATCGACGCCTTGGTGTACCACTGCCACGTGGGCGGTACGCTGATCAACGTTGTTGAAGTTGATGGTGTTCAACTGGCTGATTTCGATGTTGGCGTCCAAGACACCTGGCATGTTTCGGCGTGGGTCAGTTCGGCATGGGTCAAAGTCCTCTTCCAAGTAGCTCATGTCACCTTCTGTCGTAGCTGCACCTGAGTGGATTGCCATCTCCTCCGGTAGCGTTGTACCTGCAATAGCAAGGGCAGCCGTGGCGTTCCCGCCCGGGGCAAGTAACGCTGGGGGAGTTGCCATTGCGGGTAAAGGAGGCGAAAAGTGAGACGAAGGAAACCAGCGATCGCTTGGCGATACGGCTGATAACCTGTAGAAACGAGGTATAAGTATAAGCCGGGATAAACCACTAAATACACCCTGCACTCAGAGCATGCTTCTTGAGCCATTGCCACACGGTAGTATAGGTGAGAAGTGTGATGCGTAGATATATACTGTGCATCAACATATAATATATACGCACTACACGCAGAATGGGCTCAGGCTCAGGGCAACACCCATTCACCGGAAAGTTTCCACCGCAATGTGTTTGACGCTTTCACCAAATATGGCAGTGTGCAGCAGTATGCGAAATCGAATCCATTCGGCACTCATCCAATATTCCCCATGAAGTGGCCATAAAATGATGATATGAGATATTTTTTCGAAAAAGTATGAGCAATATTATGACTCTATCTTTTCGAGCCCAATATGTTTGGTGTGTCCTCGAAGTAAACGAAGACGCCCTCACGTCGTCTCCATGCCTTCTTCTGGCGAATCACCACCTCATCGGACAACCAAAATGGATGGATTTCAGCAAGATTCGTGAGCCAAGGTAGTGATACATTCACAACTTGAGGCACCTGGCTCCACAATTCAAACCCCGATCTGAAGCTTCAGAAGCTTCAGAAATCTCATTTTAAGCAGGTTTGTCTCGTTGGCCAGCGCTCTGAAAGCTCTGAAGCGAAACAAAGTGACCCAGACATGTCCTCCTTCAAACAGAAATCCTCAGAAACTTCAAACATCATTTCGAATCGGAAAAAACTTTAAAAATTCAACAACTTCACCACCCCAGTATCCACCAGATGTTTCCCTGCCAAGTGTAGCTTGGGGCCCCAAACACCTTTCAGCACCTTCTTGCGGAGCTCGGGCTTTCCTTTCTTCACGCTGCACAGCACCTCCAAGCCGTATCTGCAATTGTAATCTACAGCCATCAAGAAAAAAACATGGAAATCATGATGGAAATGTTGAAAAATGAAATCCATAGGCCAATCGCAAACTTCTTGCGGAAACCCCATCGTCAAATCAGAAAAACCATCCCCGGACTGGGCGGCCAGGCCAAATCGCCCGGGGAGCAATTGGGCAGCTTATTCAAGCGGCCTCCAATGCCAATAACCTTGGCGCAGAGTCGTTTTCCATATGGCAGATATGGCAGATATGGCAGATATGGCAGATATGGCAGATATGGCAGATATGGCAGATATGGCAGATATGGCAGATATGGCAGATATGGCAGATATGGCAGATATGGCAGTTGCAGTTCAATTTGTCAATCATTTCTTCAGTACTAATGGGGTCAATAGGTTGATGCATACCGCTATTGATGGCTTTTTCATGGCGAGTTTCATAGTACCAATGGATCCGTAGCAGTGGATCAAGTCCATTAGGTTGATCGATGGGTTGGTGGGTGATGGGTGCAACTTCACCCTTCATGCTCCCTTTCCGTGGACCGACAAGTTCGATTTTAGGAAAAAAACAGTTGAGACGTCATATTTCTAAGACATGAAGGAAACATGATGTTTTAGAAATATGAAACATCACAATCACAGTTCCTGTTGTTTCATCATATTTCTAAGACATGAAGGAAACATGCTTTGGAAAGGAAAGAAATGTGGATTGTAAAACTTCTGGATTTCCCAACATCAATCCCAGTGAAGACTGGCACCATTTCCCCCATCATTGGCAACTCGACAACCAAGGCAGCCACCATTGGCCCATATTGGTTAGGTGGCCGGGACCGATATGCTTGTTGACTAGATCCCCTTGTGTTGACTCCAAAATGTTAATCAACATCCCAAGATCTGTGCCCGGTCTGGCGCTATGATTTCCTGGTTGTTTTTGGCTTGGGCCACCCAACGGCAAAAATGTAGAGATTCTTGGCTCCGCTGTTGTCGGCGCAGTTCAACAAGGATGCCACGCTGCAACCCTGAGCCATCCTGCAAGAAATGGCCGGAAGCAGTTGGATTCTATCATTTGACCAAGCTTTAATTATCAACAAGTATACTGAGTATAAGTATACCAGCCAAAAATGGGGCTTGATCCAACAAATAATGGGGCGACTAACATGATCAACTTGACCATCAAGCATTGGGATTTAACCAACAAACTTCTTGGAATTTGAGCCAGAAAAAAATGAATGGTGTATAGCTACTGAATCTGGCTCCACTTTATCCTGAAAGTGGTGGTACGTGGTTGGCAAGTGGCTGAAACCCCACCTTCGAAATCCCAGTAAAAATTGGCTGGAAACAACTTAGGTGAGTAGATGGCAAATCAGCGAGCGTGGCTGAATGAGAAATTCAAACACCACTAGTGGATTTTTACAGCTACTCTGGGATACGCAAAATCTCAATTTCTGGCTGTTTTTTTCTAGTCTCCCGCGGCCAAAAAAAATCCGACCATGTGGCCAAGGGCGGATGGGTCGAAATTCAAGACCCTGAGATCCACAGTTTTGCCACAGTAGTAAACCATAGTAAACCCATCCACTTTGGGGGGGCTGTGGTCAAATTTTGCCCCTTCCATGTAAAACCCAGCTCGTAAGCAGATCTGGCTTGGTGGTGCATCAAGTTCAAACATTCTCAATTTGACTTCTCTTTGTAGTTCATGTCAGAAAACTGTAAAAAAACTGGTGCTGACCTCCGTAAAACAGAGCCGGTTTGGGCGCCTCATGTTTTGGGGCTCCTGACCTAAACCTGGACCCGACCTCGTGGCCGGGACCCGTGCGCCTCATCTTGCATTGCTTTGCTGCACGTCCCTTCTTCATGCCTGGAATCCAATGAATCCGGCAGGAGCACCTGAGAATTGTGTGGAAAAAATATGAAAAAATCAACACGTCAACACGGAGTCAACACGTGTACAAAATTTGGAGAGATGCCAGATGACTTGGGCCCAGGAAGCTTACAGAAGATCCCAGATTGAGTTTGCATCTCGATGTTTGTTGGCCAAATCCTTTTTTTCCCATGCTTACTGGTTATGTCGGTTGCACACACACACACCATATTCCCTGAAATCAAATCCCTGAACTACTTTTCCATGCTTACGTGGGTTGTGCCCCAGTTATTCATACTTGTGAAGTTACGAAGCATGTCCCAGCTATTCTTGGTGATCCCCCAAAAGTCCCCAAGATACCCATGAATTTGGACTTCACCATCTCAGTGTTTCATCACTCTCCAAAGATATGACAAATGCAGGTACCACGTCTTTGTTCAACCGCAAACCACTGGTAAAAGGCCATCCATCTATGATTGATCATCAGTTTCTCAGTGGGTTTATACTCCCACCTACGTCTAAATTCCGTTCAGAAATCATTCGGAGAGCAACATACTATTCCTACAGTACATGATCAGAAGCCAAACCATATCTTCAAACAGATCTGGGATATTCTCCGGAAACATCCCCACTTGTGAACAATTTTCTAAGATCGGTGAGTTTGCTGGAGAGGTTGTACCTCGTGACTGAAATCCATTCTCGATCAAGTTCTTAAATGATGATTCCAGTCTTGTTAGTGCATTGGTGGGATAAGTGTAAGGGTTATCTCATTGCGTTTCCTTCATCACTCTCCGGAGTTTTCTCAACATGTGGGATACTCATGGATACTCCGGATACCCCATGTTTGATCACGCTTTTCACAAGGTAATGGAAAACGATGATGAGCATTGATGAACCATGGGAATCCGGACTGGAGTGGATGGAGTGGATGGATAACTTATCCAAATTTGGGAACCCCATGGCCCCATGGCTTTCCTCATGACCCCACCTGTTGACTCCGGAGCTTCAGAGCTTCCGTGCTGAAAACGTCTCGCTGCGAGCTGAGCCAAAGGTCCCGTGGTCGCTCAGTAGAAAAGCAGTATCAAACTTAGATCAAAGTTATCAAAGTCATTTGCAGAACCAAGGTGATCAAACTTCAAATTGATCAAAGCATCCATTTTTGGGCATCCACGTTTTGGAGGTTGACAATTTGTCCATGAATGAGGAATGAACATCTAGCTATGGTATTTTGCTGATGTAAAAAAAACGATGGACAGGAGTCAGGAAGCTTGATCCTGGCCTTTGGGGAACCAAAAAACAACCACAAACCGGAGATTCCACCAATTGCAGATGGAACACCACCAGTGGTAGAAGGTCATCAGGTTCCAATGGCAAGTGTTTAGACTATCCTGGAAATTTGGATCCACAGTCACTGGGTTGTACCATGTTTTACCCCATGAGATACATTTGTTACAAAGGGTGAACTTACCCATTAAGTCACCAGTGGTTTATATCCATCCATTTCCAGCATCATAAAGTATTCCTGGAGTGACCTGGAGTTTTGGTGTACTATGTACCCGACTTACCAATCGCATAGAATACTATATAGATCGTCCGCAAATCAACTAGGTGAATCTCGAAGTGATCATCATCATCATCATCATCATCATCATAAGATTCATATTCCTTGGGATCGTGGTTTTTTGCTGATAAAAAAAATGCGAATCTTTCTGATTTTAAAGAGGCGGAGTGCCCCAGCTATGGATGTTCACCTCCATATCCTCCATGATCATCACGTCGCTCTGACGTCGCTCTGCACCTTTGTTACTCTGCATTCCTTTTGTTACCACCTGTCAGCGCTGTGAGAGCAACTCTAAGCCTACGATGGTGGCCAGACTTACCCACTCAGGGGTTGCTGGACTTGCGTCCAAATTTTGGAGGTTTAACATGGTTGGAACCTGTTCACTGACAGATGTAAGTGGTTGAGAACTGGCTGAGTGCACCCTGCGTAACTGCCATAGATTTCATGGTTCATAGGCCAGCTACTAGTTCGAGTGATTTCATGGCCTCAAAACCCGAATTCGAGAAGGAAAACTTCAACGACGCAAACTGCAAACCAATAGGTAAACAATAGTTTTCTTGTTGGAGGTACCTACAAACAAATGGATATGTCATGACATGGGGCGAGCTACCAACACCTGTTTTTGGCCTACGAGTCAAATCTGTAACTTATAAGCAATACTGGGAAAGTGTTCATAAAACCATTGTCAGCCCAAGCTGTATACATCTAAATTGAATGTCAAAATCATTTTTTTGTGGATGAACAAACATCCCCTTTTCCCGCTGACCCCAGCAATCTTTTGAACACCGTTCTGAAATTATCTTTCAACCGCAAAAACGGGAACATCTAGAGATTGCTGCGAATCCCTTCCTCCTATTTGGATCTCATCTTGGAGTCCCACAAAGCGTTCAATATATATACATTTATAGACACATGTATATGTTAAATAAGTCCAAAAGCTATACACTGTGGGAGGCCCCAAGGGACCGTGCCGTATATACATATATTTTTTGCATAAAAAACACATATCAAAACATATACAAAACACGTATAAAACACATATAAAACATATGTAAAACATATGCAAAACATATGTAAACATATGTTAAAACACATAAATATACAATAAACATATGTAAAAACATATATGTAAAACATATGTTGTGTTTTGAGCTTCATATATGTCATAAGAGCTTATATTGAAAATAAGATCTTATTACATATGTGATTCACATGTTGCGTTTATGTTCAACATATGTAGTGAGATATTACTCAACAAAAAGTAAGATCTTATTACATTTGTGAAACATGTATGAAACATATCTTAACAAATAGTATGCATATACACTTACATATGTTTAACAAATCTTTGCATATGTAAAACACAAATGTAAACATATGCAAAACATAAATGTAGCATATGTACCATATATGTAAAATATATGATATGGTATATGTAATATATATGCAAATACATGTAAATTATGTGCAAATATATGCGCAAATATATGAAATATATATGTGAATTATGTGTTTTTTGGTGCAATAAGATCTTATTTGCTTAAAATAAGATCTTATTACATGAAACAAATGCAAAATTACATGTAAAATCACATACCTTAAGATATAATATACATAAAAAAAAACACATATCCATTCTCATATGTTGCACACAAGTTTTCATTTACCCAACATATATCTTTACATTTGTATAACATATCGTTTTGTGTATTGGATGTGGTTATACATATGTTTATTATATGTAATTCATTGCGCATTCATGTGAATATTATCTGCAACATATATGTTTTCAATTATGTAACCAATTATGTTTATTTGTGGTTTCTAAATGTTTCAATATGTGTGACCTATTTAATGATATCATGACTGTCGCACATGGGTTTAATGATGTTTAAATAAGGTTGTTCATGATCATTTGCCCAAAATGACCATCGCAAACATACATATGCAAACATATGTGCAAATATATGTGCATAACATATGTCTTTATATGTGCATAACATATGTTTTTATATGTATTGCTTTATGTTTCATATATGTTTTTATTTGATTTGTATATGAAACACATATGTATCAACATATGTTTCATATATGTTTATATATATATATGTTATCTAAATGTATATGTATGTGATATGTATGCGTCTGCTCCGTGGCAGCTCTCCAGAAACAAACTTTACATAGCTTTTGAATTTAGTTAATGTATATGTCTATATATGTATATGTCTAAATATGTAAATATGTATATATGTATATACATATATATATATGAATGAAAAGGTGTATATGTGTATTTATGTATATATGCATGCCTTTATATATGTATATGTGCAAATGTGTATACATGTATTTTTGTATATGTGTATATATGTATATTTCTATATATCTACATATCTATATGTATATTTGTATTTATTTACATATGCATATGTGTATATATGTAAATATGCATATATGCATATATGGATATATGTATATGTATAAATGTATATATGTAAAGATGTATATATGTATATATGTACATATCTATATATCTACATATCTACATATCTGTATGTATATTTGTATATATTTACAAATGTATATATGTATATGTGTATATACGTATATATATAGATATATGCAGATTTGCAAATATGCATATATGTATATGCATATATGTAAATATCTATATATCTATATATATATGTATATTTGTATATTTTTACATATGTATATATGTATATATCTATATATCTATATATGTATATTTCTACATATCTATATTTCTATATATCTATATATCTATATTTCTATATTTGCAATTATTTACATATGCATATATGTTTTTATGTATATATGTATACGTGCATATATGTATATATGTATACGTGCATATATGTATATATGTATATTTGTATATATGCATACATGTACATATGTATATGTGTGCATATCTATATTTCTGTATTTCTATATATCTATATATGTATATTTGTTTATCTTGACATATGTACATTTACATATATGTATATTTGTATATTTGTATATATGTATATATGTATACAAGTACATATGTATATATGTGTATATATGTATATATGTGTATATATGTATATATGTGTATCTATGTATATATGTCTATATGCATATATGCACAAATGTATTTATGTATATATGTATATTTGCATAAATGGATATTTGTATATATGCATATATGTATACATGTATATTTGTATATATGTATATATGTATTTATGTATAGATGTATATATTATATATGTATATATGTATACATGTATTTTTGTATATATGTATTTTTGTATTTATATATATATATATGTATGTATTTTTGTATATATGTATATTTGTATATATGTATTTTTGCATATTTGAATATTTGTGTTTTTGTATATATGTATATTTGTATATATGTATATGTGTATATATGTTTACTTGTATATATGTATATTCGTATATATGTATATATGTATTTTAAAAAAAATGTGTAGATGTATATGCATTATATATTGCAGATTTTACTGCTACAGTACATATTACGTTGGGAAACTTGGTTACATTGGGGCTACATCTCCTGAACTTCTGCTTGCTCCATCCATCTTATCCCTCCGTGGCCACCCTCTTGCGGGGCAATTCGTCGAAAGCTCACAGAGCTGCGCAAATCCGATGCCGGTGGATGTGACAGATGTGACCAGTGATCAGATCTTGGGATGAGTCAAAAATTTCGGACCCCAAAATATTGTTTTTTTTCAGCCAGGTATACCAAGTTTGGCATTCATAGAACTGATCGCAATTGATGATCCAAAGAATGTGCCATCTGTGGGTCCATTTCCATTCTTGGCCCATCCCCTATGAAAGAAGTAACAGGCAAGTATACATTTGGCAAAATGGTTTGGGATACTGGGAAGAGTATTTCGAAATATTTCGCACATTGAGAATGGGGTGTGATCATCTGGTGATGATTTATCATTGGAGTCTGTGGGAATTAAATGAAAGTGATGGTGGCAACTTGGTGATTGCAACGCTTCATTTGTTTAATGCTTTGGTCATGATTTCCCATTTGGGGATGCCACAGACCAAAGGTGACGATTTGGGTATTCATTCTCAGGCCACTATCAGGATGATGTCCTTGGTCCCCAAACTGCTTCAAACATGGCCTAACATGGCACAGTACATCAGCTGTTCGGTCCCTGAGCGGACCAATGGATCTTTGAATTGATGAATTTGGAAAGGTAAATGTCGGGAAAAACGGAAGGAATCAAGCAACAAAAATGACCATTGAGCCAATCAAAATGAGGATTTGACCAAAAAGGAAAAAAATGACATAGATTAACCAACAACAAATCAGAAATTCACCCTCTACAAAGGCAAGGGCCGAAAGGGATTGTGCGACTGCGTCTCATCCTACGTTGAGAGTCGGGTTCCCTGGCCCGGTAAGGCGCCCTTATTGGCGCCTGTGACTTGGACGCCGATGAATTTGA